CAGCTACTCAGGAGGCTGAGGCAGGAGAATTGCCTGAACCCAGGAGGCGGAGGTTGCAGTGAGCCGAGATTGTGCCATTGCACTCTAGCCTGGGTAACATGAGTGAAACTCCGTCTCAAAAAAAAAAATAGGCTTGAAACCTTAAAAAAATTTAAGTTTTTTGTAGTTGTTTTTGTTTTTGAGACAGAGTCTCACTCTGTTGCCCAGGCTGTGGTGCAATGGCATGATCTTAGCTCACTGCAACCTCTGCCTCCTGGGTTCAGGCAATTCTTGTGCATTAGTCTGCTGAGTAGGTGGGATTATAGGCACATGCCACCAAGCCTAGCTAATTTTTGCATTTTTAGTAGAGACGGGATTTCACCATGTTGGCCAGGCTGGTCTCAAACTCCCGACCAGAGGTCCATCTCCTTTGCATCCCAAACTGGTGGTATTACAGGCATGAGCCACCATGGCTGGCCAGAATTTTAGGTTGTCTGTTTTTTGAGACGGAGTCCTGCTCTGTCACCCAGGTTATAGTGCAGTGACTTGGTCTTGGCTCACTGCAACCTCTTCCTCTCGGGTCAAAGCGATTCTCTTGCCTCAGCCACCAAAGTAGCTGGGATTATAGGCATATGTCACCACACCTAGCTAATTTTGTATTTTCAGTAGAGATGAGATTTCGCTATGTTGGCCAGAATGGTCTTGAACTCCTGACCTCAGGTGATCTGCCTGTCTCAGCCTCCGAAAGTGCTAGGATTACAGGTGTGAGCCACCGCACCTGGCTCAAAATTTTAGTTTAAAAACATTTGTTTAGATTTGTTTTCCAGCCTATCAAGTGATCTATCAAAAAGAATGTTGTATGAGCTATTGCAAAGGGTGTGTTTCCTGATGTTGTGAAATGTTCTCTGTATCTCTGTTAGAAATATTTGTTTTAGGCCGGGCATGGTGGCTCATGCCTGTAATCCCAGCGCTTTGGGAGGCTGAGGTGGGTGGATCATGAGGTCAGGTGTTCGAGACCAGCCTGGCCAACATGATGAAACTCCGTCTCTACTAAAAATACAAAAAATTAACCAGGTACGGTGGCGGACGCCTGTAATCCCAGCTACTCAGGAGGCTGAGGCAGGAGAATCACTTGAACCCAGGAGGCAGAGGTTACAGTGAGCCAAGATCATGCCATTGCACCCCATTCCAGCCTGTGTGATAGAGCAAGAATCCGTTTTTTAAAAAAAAAAAAAGGAAGAAATATTTGTTTTACACTGCCTTCAAATCCACTGTTTCCTTACTAATATTCTCTTGTTTTATTATCAGAGAAAGTGAAATATCAAAATGTCCTACTATAATTATGTTTTCTATGTGTTTCTTTAATTATGTCAATATATGCGTTACATATTTGGAAACCTAATGTGAGATACACACACACACACAAATACATACAAATTTTTCATAGGTTCCCAGTGAATAAATCTATTACTGCTAATGTACTTCTTTGTCTTTTTGGAGTTTTGACTTCATACACATTTTATATAATATGAAGGTTTGACTTAAGATGTAGCTTGTGGCCGGGTGTGGTGGCTCATGCCTGTAATCCCAACACTTTGGGAGGCCAAGGCAAGTGGATCACCTGAGGTCAGGAATTTGAGACCAACCTGGCCAACATGGTGAAACCCCATCTCTACTAAAAATACAGAAATTAGATGGGCACAGTGACAGGTGCCTGTAATCCCAGCTACTTGGGAGGCTAAGGTTGAAGAATCGCTTGAACCAAGGAGGACAAGGTTGCGGTGAGCCGAGATTGGGCCATTGCACTCCAGCTTGAGAGACAGAGTAAGACTCCGTCTCAAAAAAAAAAAAAAAAGTAGCTTGTGTAATACTACTTTGACTTTTCTGCTCTCATTTGGTTAATATTTGGATAAAATGTCTACTTCAATTTTGCTACTTTCAGGCCTTTTTTATTGTAGAAAGGCAAGTGAAGTCTTGAGTTTTTATTTTATTATTTTTATTTATTTATTGAGATAGAATTTTGCCCTCGTTGCCCAGGCTGGAGTGCAATGGCGTGATCTCAGCTCACCACAACTTCCACCTTCTAAGTTCAAGTGATTGTCCTGCCTCGGCCACCTGAGTAGCTGGGATTACAGGCATGTACCACTGCACACCCCTAGCTAATTTTGTATTTTTAGTAGATATGGGGTTTCTCCATGTTGGTCAGGCTAGTCTTGAACTCCAGCCTCAGGTGATCCACCCACCTCAGCCTCCCAAAGTGCTGGGATTATAGGCATGAACCACCAATCCTGGCCGAGTTTAATTTTTTTTAATAAATCCCTTTGTTGAAAGTATGTGTCTTGATTAGAAAGTTAGTTATATATTTAAGTAATTTTCTGAAAGACAGAGACTTCCTGTTATTTTTGTATTTTAATTGATTCTTGTATCTTTATCCCTCATTTTCTCTCTTTCTGTCTTTGTGTCTGTTTCATTTTAGTATTTATATGCTTTTACTTTTTTATTTTCTTCTGGGTCTCTACACAGATATTTCCTTTGTGGTACCTTGGGGATTACATAAAACCTCTAAGGCCGGGCATGGTGGCCCACACCTGTAATCCCAGAGCTTTGGGAGGCTGAGGTGGGCAGATCACGAGGTCAGGAGATCAGACCATCCTGTGCATGGTGAAACCACATCTCTAATAAAATACAAAAAAATTAGCCAGGCCTGGTGGCATACATCTGTAGTTCCAGCTACTCACGAGGCTGAGGCAGGGGACTCCCTTGAACTTGGGAGACAGAGGTTGCAGTGAGCCAAGATCTTGCCACTGTACTCCAGTCTGGCGATCTCCAAAATTTAAAAACAAAAACAAAAACAAAAACAAAAAACTCTAAAAGATAAAACAGTGTATATTTAATCTAATCTGGTGAAAAATAAACTTCAGTTACATAAAAAAATTTTTTATCATTACATCTGCCCTCAACTTTGTTATTGACGTTG